TTTCCAGAACAATTCAGTGTACCTCATCAATCTCAGGAACGAGATCCCACACACTCTGCCTTAACAAGGCATTCAACTTCTCGTTTTTGAGATTCGACAACTTAGCTCCTATAGCTTCAGTAGAAGTAGTAGCACTTGGTTCATGATTTGGGATCCTCTCTTCCTTAGACAAGAGCTCTGCTACTTGATCTCTATAGTAACCAAAAAAGTCAGGTCCAACTCTAGAGCTCTCCAATGGAGGAGGCACTGCTTCCGCTGCTCTTTTTGTCATAGCTGTTATATAACACAATACAAATATCAACACCGATAAAGATATAGAGAACTCAGACACAAACCAAATGCAGTAAGATTGTGACTATAACTTAAGATCCATGGAAAGCGATTTCGATTTTATAAACCCTAATCAACCAATTTGACAAAAAAAACCTTCGAAACTTTGAGATATCGATGAAATTGCTCAGTGACATGCAACCCCAAACAAATCGAATCAACAACGAAAACAACAGAGAAATACAGAAATCGTTCTCTATTGAAGCATCGGAATCTCAACATCAGGTTTGGGTAAACTAAGACGAGACGAATGATTTGAAAAACCATCGGTGACAAATAGCGAAGTACGGAAGGTAAGGAAGAAGCGAGAAGGAAACTCACCGAGAAATCCAGAGGAATCGGAGAAGTCGCCGGAGAAAAGAATCGGAGGCGAGCGAAAACCACCGGAAAAAGAAAAGTGAAGCTTCTACAGTTAAATACTCGAATGAAATGAAGGAAAGGAAAATAGAAAACTTGTTTATACTTCATATTACTTGGGAAATACTAACTCTTAGAGTGCATGTCGTTTATATGGTTAACTAATATAACTGCATGCCGTTTATCTTGTGGAGACACGTTCCCCATACTCACACGTGGTGCCTCCAAAATTAGCCGTGTCCATAAGGTTGTTGTACAGTATACGTGTAATGTTTTTTTGTCTTTTTTTGTCACAAGGTACAGTACATGTTACGCCCATTTTGATATTTTGTTAAATTTAAAT